AGGAAGGAAGGAAGGAAGGAAGGAAGGAAGGAAGGAAGGAAGGAAGGAAGGAAGGAAGGAAGGAAGGAAGGAAGGAATTTTAATAAAGAAAACTATTTCAGCTGGGCTGGGCCTTGTGTTTCTGAGACTCACAAACACAGGAGGGGAAGAAAAGGCTGGAAAGCCCCAAGACTCAGTGGGGTGGAAGAGGTAAGCAGCCTGACTCCTGGTGGGTTCCTGGTAAGGCGACTGCAGAGTCTACTGTGGGTAGATGCCCAAGCCAGCTGTGGCATTGCATCTCTGGGGCTATGGGACATTGCAGGATAAGTAAAAAGACTGGGAACTAAAAGTCATAACCTCTTTTTAAAGGCCCATTTTGTCAGGGCACTGAGCAAGAAAGACTTTTCTGCAGGGACCAGCAGCACCATATAGATGCTTAGGTACTGAGGGACATTGGGGGGATGGTAGGGGACGCTGAATGAATGGTGAAGGCTCTGGAAGGATGGCTGGGGTACTTGTAGGATGGTGGGGGCACTTGGTATATGGTGGGGGACCACTTCTAATACCCATGCAGGAGGAGGGACAGTCATGTCCACCCAGCTGAGAGTCAGGAGGTCTTCCCTACTTAACACCATTTCAAAATGTGTAAGACCTTAGAGTTTTTGTCCTATCTAGGGGAGGCCAGGAGCCAGGAGGGTTAAATCCTGGGTCTCCCACCCTGGGTACATTTACCTAATTTGCAAAATAAAGGTGGCCTTCTTTGCATTCCTGGAGGTGGCACTCTTTGGACAGCTACAGGCCTTCTGTCTGCTTTTCCCTGTCAGTTTCCTCACCAGCACTCTCTCCTCTGGGCCTTCTCCCCTGGACCACAGCTCCCAGACCCTCCTTCCTCTCCTTCCCTGCATCCTGTCTTGGACATGCATCCTGTACTGTCCCCCTTCCCCCGGCTTCACTGTGTTCAAGAGGGTCATGAAAACAACAGGGAGGAAAGGTTGTTATTCTAACACTAACTTTTTGTTCTCCATTGTTCAAAAAAGTAAATGGACTATGGCACTTTACCTACTTTGGCCTCTGTTACTGTCTCCTTAAAAGGTTCAGGTTACAATCTCTAAGATGCTTTCTAGTTCAACAGTTCTATGATCCTTGCTGACAGTTGGAAAGTATTTTGATCATATTTACAGTCACATGAAGAGACTGGAGCCACTGGGATGCCTTTGGATATCTTAACTGGTGTAGCTGACCCACCCATGTCAAGGGCTCACCCAGGAGTCCTTGGAGGGCCTGGGTGAGAGGCAGGCTTTATTCCCAGTCTCAAAGCACTTCAGGAAAGAGTGGTCGCTAACCCTGAATTGCTTGAAGATGAGAAGTTTCAGGTCAGCCCACCTCTCAAAGTGCAATTCGTTAGAGGACTTATTCAAGGTCAAACATTAAAACATTTTTAACAAGCCATCATGCACACTGAAATCACTCTTTAACAATACTCCTCCGGTCTCTTCCATTCTCTACCAGAATCTTCAATATCTTTGTGCATATAATAGGGAGGTGATAGCTTACAGGATAACCAGGAAGACTCAGACAAGGTGCAAACCTTACCTCTCATGGTTGCTGGGTGCTGTGCACAGGAAGTTCTTAGTAGAAGTTATTGCTGCTAAACATGGGCTCTCACACCTGCTGCTCCGTTCCCACCAGCAACAGCCCATGAGTTCATCCTTCTTCCTATTCTTCTGGGTCCTGAAAGGATCTTTTTTGAGAAATCGGGTTTCTTAGCCACAAACCCAGTGAGTCCAGGGGAATTGTCAACACAGTGATCCATTTCTTTGGAACTCTACTTGCATGATTTTCCATATTTAATGACATTCTACCAGCAGGATAAACATACAGGCAAGGTTGAATCATCTTTCCTCTCCCCTTGGATCAGGAACCCAAGAAAACAGGTGCAGGAAGCAGGTGGGAGCTCTGGAGAGCAGGATGTTGCTTACGCCGTGCTTATACTGCTCAAGGGCCCCAAGGGGGATGTGGGAGGGAGGAATAAGGGGGCTCTTCATCTAACTGGGGGCTCCTCTCTATAATGACAGCAGATCTGCAGACAAGGGGCACGGTATGGGGCACCTGCCTGGAAGCAGTTCTCCCAGAAGCCCCTTTCAATCAAGACCAGGAAGAAGCACTTTCCCTAGCAGTGGTTGAGAGCATTTGGGGGGAGCCACAGCACTCTGCTGGATTGCCCAGAGATGGGGGGTACCACTGTAGGAACCTACAGGATTTGGCTGTGAAGGGAGTGAATTAAGTTCACGTCCCACAAGGGCAGCTTACTCTTGTGGGGAGAGGAGAAGAGGGGAGTCCCCAAAGAATCTCTCTTTGAGCTCTTTTAGAAAGCACAAAGTTTCCCAGATTGGATGAGAGAAAAGAAAAGAGAAAATGTAAAGACTTCCAAAGAGATAAACAGATCTAAGCATACAAAGGGGCGAGTGGAAGAAGATGGCATTAAAAATGTATATATCCTCACCTTCTTCCATCGTGGGCTTTGAAAAAACGTACAGAAGTACACACAATGCAGAAGGAAACGAAACAAATCAAAGGATTTATCTTTAAAAAGGCCTTTGGGACTTCCGCCTAGAGACAGCACAAAGGTATTTGTAGTTCTTGTCCCTTCTTAGAAACCCACGGCAAACAGCACTGCATAAAAGAGAAGGAAAGAAAGCTCTTCATCTTCTGTGGAACAAGGGAAGGGCCACCACCTCAGAGCTCAACCTCCCAGTACTGAGGAATCCAGGGAAAAATGAGAGGATTGGGGACTACCCTGGGGCTTGAGCAAGAGAGAGGTTTCCCTCAAGGTGAGGATCCACATCCTGAAGGAGCCTTTGATTAGAAAGACTAATTCTTGGACTGGGTGGCCCTCCAGACGGACAGGAATACCCCTGTCTCCAGGCCCCCACATCCTGAAGAACATCTGGGAAGTCAGCCCTGAGGATACAGTCTCAGGGCCCACCATTTCCATTATCTAGACCAACTCCTGGTCAAGGGCACCTGCCAGAGGTGGGTGAAGGAGGTTCCAGAGGCAGCGTTTGCTGTTTGCCAGAGTCTGTGATTCAAAAGAGTCGTTGAACAGCATGGACCCAGAATCCAAAGGGAAATGAGCAGCCAGTGTGAAGGAAAGAAGATTCCGTGGAAGTGGGTTGGAGACAAGAAACCTGAACCGAAGTTCCAGACTCTCCCGGCTCACTTCTCCTGTCCCTCCTCAGACTTATCTTCAATAAATAGCTGATTGCATTAAAAAAACAAAACAAAACAGGAAGGAACAACAAAAGAACCCACATGAGTCTTAGCTATAGGTCCTGCAGAGGCAGGAGGCATATGATTTGTAAGGGAGCCCATGCTAAGAGACATCTTAATTATGTTTGAAGCATCCAGGATGCTTCCCACTGGTGCGTCTGGTGATGCCAAATGAAAGCATTATTTCTGTTGTGAAAAAAACAGACTTGGTCATGGACTTGAGTTAGCCAAGTAAATATTTTCTTGGCAGTGTACAGCATGAGTGCAAAATGCCTATTACGCATAGACTATAATTACAGCGTTCCATTAACGTTTTCAAGTGATTTTCCTTTTGGGTATGGCGGTGGCTGGGACTTGGGAGATGTGAGCTCTGCCCGCCATCTTTGCCTGGAAACCACTAACTGATGTCTGAGTTTGGAGATTTGATAGGGACACACTGGAGTAGTGGATGGGTAGGGAAGTATGAGTTGTGGTGAGTTCACATCGAAACCTGTTGCGACTCATTGCCAAAACTTTTGGGTGAAACTGGTCTTACTAAGTGAAATGGAAAAAAATTCCAGTCTCTAATCCAATTAGTTTCCAGAATTAATTTACTCAGTTTTTATTCCTGGAGCATGTTGGGTTTTGACCATCCTTTTCTTTCCCTGAGTTTTAAAAAGATAAATAATAAAAATAAATCATAGAAGGAAAGAATAGATGTTGAGAACAATTAAGCCTCTCCTAAACACAGGAGGGCGGTGATTTATCCAGTATTAGGAGCAGTTAGTGATTACTCTTCTCATTTATAACTTCTGTGAGAAAAGTGGTATTATCCCCATTTTATGGATGATAAAAAAAATGTAACTCATTTAAATCACACAGCTAGTAATTGAAAGAGTTGGGATCAAAAACTAATGATTACAGAATGAGTCGATTAACATCAGAAGAGTTGGTAAACTGAGCACCTGTCAGTAAGAAATGTTTCTTAAAGAGTCTACCTTTTAAATACTTTAGAGGGTCCAAGACAGAAACCTGACTGTATGCATTTTATTCAACCCGCATGCAAAAATCTTATTAAAATGGCCAGAGGACTATAATAAGAGGGGGAAATGTGCAGAAAAACAAGGAAGGATGCTATCCATTTCCTAGGGACAATGTGTTCTTTCTGTAAGTGGCAGTGGAGTCTTGTCTGGACTGAGGGGCGAGGGGGCTCTGATGAGGACAACTTGGTCACACAGCATCAAACCCGCTGGCTTGTGTGTGGTTGGAGATGAGGGCGGCCGCAGAACTTGCCAGAAGTCATCAGAGTGAGAAGGCTCCCTAGGTGCACCCTCCTGCCTCGTGTTGGCCTGTGGCATGACAAGGCGAGGCGAGGACCTAAATGTCCATCAGTTTTTAATGCAGGCTGTGCCTGGCACCAGCAAGTGGCCCTCGGAGCTGGGGTCTTCTCTGGAATCTAGCACGTTTACACCTTGGAGGTTGATGATTTACCCACTGGCTCTGGGACACTGGGATGAGTTGGAAGGAGTCCTAATGCTCCACGAGTCCTAGGCTTTTATGGGATACAGAATGAACCAAGTTATGACAAATGGCAGGGAAGCCCCCAAGTATATGGAAATCCCAGAGGAGAGAGTGCCTGTGTGTGTGGAGGGGAGGGAACTCAGAAAAGGTGACACTGCTAGACTTCAAGACTGATTTAGTAATTGTTCACCCAGGGGTCAGCATGCAGCTCTGGAGGAATAAAGGCATTGGACGGGATGAGGACATGGGATAGTGGTGGAAACACCTTGGAAGTGGAAGACACGGGGTAATGCACCCCACCAAAGGCACCCCTCCAGATCTATGGGGAAAGTCCCTAAGCCCGGGAGGTGGGGGGGACAGAATGTTCTGGGATATTCCTGGGTGCTCTGGCAGGAATCCCTATGGAGGTAATTTAGGGAAGAGGGTGGGATTGCTTATCTTTGTGGAAAAAGAACACTCCCTGCCCAGAGAGGGGATGATGAATGTGGCTTTGAACTTGTATCTAAGGTGGTGCATCCAATCAGCCACATCCCTGGGCCAGGGAGGCAGTATTATACTGGGTGCAAGTTTCCTCGTCCGCAAGCTTGAGTGATGTGCTTATCACTCCGTCACGTGGCAGCTGTGCATTATGGGGGTCTGGCACATGCACTCCAAGTTCAGTAACTATAAATGCAATCATTGTGTTTTCAAGTTATTCTTGTTTCAATTCAATGTTTCTTTCATTATTCAACAATGACCTCTTCTGGAAAAACCAACCAACAGAGAAACAAAAAAATTTACGTTTCATTTGTACAGCGTGGGATCAGTTCCTCTGCCTTTGGCCAAGAGACCTCAAGCTATCTCATGTCACAGTTCAGTGCGTTTCCTCTGCCTGAAACTTCCTTTCTCATCAATTCTGCAATTGACTTATCCTTCAACGCTCTGCTCAGTGTCACCTCTGCCCCTGCCTATGTTCTGCATGTTCCTCTTATGATATGCACCTGTCATGGAGTACTGTCATTCCTGGATCACAACCACTGAGACGTCTGTCTCCCTGACTGTTCCTGGAGGCTCTCTTTACCTAGCACTTAGCATGTAGTAAATCTGAGCAAATATTTATTGAAGATTGTCTTGAAGAGAAACCCATGAAATACTTGGAGGAAAGTGCATTTTTTTTTTTTTTTACATTCTTTGCTTTGAGTCACTATTGCACATGCTTGGCTTGGAGTTACTGTGCACTCAAAACCCAAACAAGTTCTGAAATGAGATTAATTCATGATTCATTCATTTAAGCCATTTCTGCCCGCCTTCACTCCCCTGCCCTTGTGGCACTTCTCTACTGGCTTTGTTCCAGGCTCTGGGATACGGAGATGAGTAAGGGAGTCAGTTTCTGTGCCCAAGCTGAATGAGGGTGACTTCACATCTCCCCAGGTAGTATTCAGAAGGAGGATCCATTGGCGTTTTACCTACAGTGAAGTATTGGTTTCATCTTCTGACTCTAGTATCTTTCCTTTGATGCCTGTATTTCATTGGTCTGGCCATTGGACAGGGAAGTACCAAGATTTGGATTTGGGTCCTCATGTTAGGTGTAGATAAAGATGTAGAAAGGACAGTGGTCCAAAGGGTCAGGAGACCCAGGTTCTTGAGGGAGTTTTTCTACCAAAGTTTGCATGACTTTGGGAAGTGGTCTTTTCTCCTTTGGTCTTAGTCTCTGTCAACACATAAAGAAGAGATAAGGCAGGCAGTCTTTGGGTTTTCTTCCACAAAGCTTGAGTCTTATCGTACAGCTCAAAGTGCCCTGGAATCCATCAGCAGGAGCACTTTGGGAAGATTACCCTTGGCCCACAAATTGGACCTCCCTCCTCCCCAGCTGGGTGATTGGCATCTCATCAATACAGTCATAACATCTGGTTTAGAAAACCAGAGCAATGTCTCTAAATTGACTGTCAGAACCTTATTGCTGATGGGTGAAAACCATCTCAACGTCTAAATGAAAGTCCACGAACCGGACCAACACAGCGGCCTCGGCAAGGCGGGGGCAGAATTCTGAGCATGGGGAGGTGAGTCTGTTTATTTGTTTCCTGATTCTAATTAGAGAAAGGGAAAGAGTGTCAGGAGTCTTTAGTGATTCACATCTTAATAGCCTGGTTATAATTTATTAATCCTTTTCATCAAAATTTCAGCATCCCTTTCCCCAGGAGTCTAAGACTGACTCAAATGTATTTATTGTTTCGAGGTGGGGTGTCATTAAATATTTGGCATCTCCTAAAGCTGGCTGGGAGAGCAGATCCCATACCATGTGCAGCATACAATTTCTGGGAAGGAAAGCATGAGTTGGTAGAGCATTAAGCCGGATGAGAGACATATACAGATAGGCATGTTTATTCTTTAAAATATTTACCACCACATACTTCTCTCCCATCTTGACGACATAGGGCCACTGTTCCACTTTCTCCGGCAGTTTCCCCTCACCAACCAAGGCCATAGTTTTCCTTGGAGGGAAGCATCAGCATGAATAGGACATGCGCCATGTTTTAATCCACTCAGCTGTCTTCACCTACAACGCACCCGAATATGCGGTGCCATTATTAAGGGTCTATCTTTATCACAAGTCAGGAAAGGGCTTCGGGGGTGAAAAGGCCAGGAAATTGAATCTTGGAGGCGTAAGGGTGACTCGGAATCATGACTTTTTAAGGCAGAAAAGGACCTTACAGGTTTATCCTCTTTTGAGGATGTGAACTCTTTCATGGCATTTCCTCTGAAGTGGTCCCGTCAGAGAGACCGCTCAGGATCTGTGGAGCAGCCTTCCACCACGGGGAGCTTTGCCACTAGAAAGTTCTTCCTCCCTCTGACTTAAAACCTTCCTGTCTTTAGTTTTTTCTAAGACACTCTTGGCCTCTTGATAGTAAATGGGGGAGCCAGATGAGGGGTGGAGTCAGAGTGGGACAAGGCTCTTCAACACTAGCAGCCCAGGCACATCTGCCCCACGGGTACTGTGAAGCATTAACTATTTATATTGCTATAATTTGAACATGATTTATTCCCACCAAAACTCATGTTAAAGCTTGGTCCCCAGTGTAACATTAAAGTCTGGGGGCTAGGGAAACACTTTGGGACTTCTAGAACGAGCTAAATAATCTTCTTTTTCTTTATAAAATACCCAGCCATAGACATTTTGTTATAGCAACAGAAAATGTATTATGACACATAGGGTTTATTCTGAATAGAAGAATACATCCTCCATATGATCTAGCTTAGTTTATTAGAATTCTACAATAGATTTTAGTACTGAAGCCTCAGCTAATAGTGTCTTATTTTGACACTTTGAGACATGTCTAATCTCTTTGGTCTCCTCACGAGGAAGAAAGTGGTTGGGCCACTGCAGAATTTAGGGCTTACCTGTTTCCACTGGCCAAATACCATTTTTCCTGTCACTTTTCAAGCTCATGACTTCTGCTACAGGGGACTTTGAGACTGTACAACCTTTAGCTCATTTAGGTCACCCTTGAACTAGCACAGTGCCTATTTGTGCTCACACTGTAGACTTCCAAATTTCTTCATCAATTATCAGAAGCCTCAATGACTTTATCTCATGACATCATACATATCTTTGGGCCTTTGGTGTCTGAGTTCTACCTGTAAAAGCAGAGGCCTTTTAATGTCTTTGGTTCAACATTGATTTACTCGGTCACGGCTTGATCAGCACCCTTAGCTTTCTTATCCACTCAACTTGTCCTTGGAGAACAGAGCCTTCAGGGTCTATGATGACATGTCTTAGAAGTTCACACACACAGAGCCTTTTTCTTTCCCAATAACAAGGGATGTAGAAACCTTATGACTCATTAAAACAGATCCTATCTTTACCTTGTTCTTAATGATCAAAACCCGTTCCCTCCCAAGAGCTGTCTCATCCATGGCCCCATTTTGATGGCATTGTGACCATTTTCATGGAAGGAGCCAACACACTCACACATACATGCACACACACTCACACTAACACGTGCACTGTCCGGCTTCTAGCCATCCTGCAGACAGCTTGTCAAAGGGTCTCCAGGTTTCCCCATGGCTGAATACACTGCCTCTGGAGTCTGTGTACATCTTACACTAGCACACCAGTGAGCAGGCATTACCTGGAGAACTTCACCTTGGGCCTCCAGAAGATTTTTTATTTTATTTTTTTTTAAAGAAAGACATAATGAAAACCTCACAAGGTACAAATCCTAAGAAGCAATGTGACTGACATCAAACTTTCCATTACGTTCAGCACATTCATTTGAACAATGAGGCATAGGATGGAATCTGTATTGAATTTCTTACTAATGGGTCATTAGAGGAGATTCGTGCTGCCTGCTGTTGTCCAACTATTTTCTTAAGAGAATTATTTTCTGTTCACCACAGTGCCTGTTGCTTTGGCCAAAAAATCAAACAGAATGAGGAAAAATCTGGCCTTCAAAGGACACTGTACATTATTGTAATTATAATAGTAATAGCTATCTGCAAACAGTGACCTGAGTCCTAGGTACGTTATATACATTGTCTTTAATATTTATGTTTCCAGAAAATACATATTTTGTTGGTGATAGTGCCAAGATGGCAAGATGTTTTTCTGAGACCTGAAATCCATGAGTCCTTGATCAGCTTCCCACCTTGGCTGGCACCAGTCCAGCTAGCAAGGTACAGATGGACAGAGCTAGTCAGAAGGAAAATGTTTATTTCTACAGAGAAAGCTTTGGCACCATCTCTTCCCACCCTAGTGAGATAAGCGAGACTCTTTCTGAACAGAAAGAAAGGTCTAGTTTTGTGCCTCTGGATAGACTATGCTAAAAGCCATCCTATCTCATAGTAAGAGCCCTCATTCCCATGAGCCAAACTAAAGAAGGACACTCCCAAGGGAAAGAGGATCAAATGGAAAGAGCCTTTTCCTAAGATCTAGCATAGCAGGCTCCACTCTCCCACCTTTATCAAATTAATGGTGGAAGAGGGGGTCTCGTAAGTTTGGGCAGCCCCAGGCCCTTGTTAGCCAACTAGAGTCAGTCCCCAAAAGGAAAAAGGATCCAGTAGGGCATGTGTGTGAAAGTAAAGGTCTTAAAGCTTTTTGTTCCTCCTCTTAGAAGCTCTCTGCTGGCACAGAAAGGGTCGATGGCTGAGATGCCTGCAGATGCTCTGTGCTCCTGAACCTTGGCCTACATCCCAAATCAATGATGGCTTTCATCCTTGCCAAACCTAGACTCTTTCTCAACATGATGCCCTAAAGCATCTATATTAGATGATTGGAACTGGGGCGTTTGAGATCCTTTCACTGTCATTGTCTTAGCACCCAGTAGAGCGGTGCCTGTGGTCCACGTCAGAAGTCTCCTGTTGGCCAGTTGAGGATGTGGGAAGGTGTGCTAGCTATCCTCCCCGGCGGCCAACATGCCCCCATAGTTTGATCTTCTCGCCTTAACTTAGGGATGTGGCTGTTATCCTTTGGCCAGAAAAATAAAAAGTATCAGAAAAGTCTTGTATGATTCTTCCAGAGGTGTCTTCTTCAATCCTTGCTTCTTCCTTTGTGTTTAGACCTGTAATCAATGAATGGGCAGCTCAGGCCATCTCCCTCATGGTTGACATGCTTATTAAGCCACATCGTCTCACCTGTTCTAACTTCCATCTAGAAGGATGCTTGGCCCCTTTGTACAAACAAGCTCACCAGACAGAGTTACACATTGTGCATGCCAGAATAGTAGCAAATACCCTGAGTGCTATGCCAGACAGGAAGTCTTTGCTGAGCAATCTGGGATGTGAAAATACCTGTCAACAGTATCTCTAAGAACTTCCTGCCATCAGTCCCATGCCTACAGAATATAGAAATCTCAACACATCTGGGGATCTGTGTGACTTCACTTTTCCCCTTGTGACTCATATCTAGAACAGAAGCAGACCAAGGAGCTCCATGGTCCTATTTCTCCACTTTTCAAATAAAAAGTGTCCTGGGGTCCTTTAAACAAAATGCTTATAACAAGTGACCAATCCATACATAAACCAGGACAGCCCTAGAGACGGAGATAAGATGAAGCTGGTCCCTGCCATTTGGATGCTCATAATCCCCAGAGCTGAGCTCTGAGGAGGAGTCTGAATCTCATTCAATTCCAGGTCATTATCTCCTGGAAGCTGGCATGTGCAGTTGGCATTTGATTTTGACATGAGTTTATGTTTTCCAGATGCCGCAAGTGAGTCGTGGCACAGTCATTTGTCTTGTTGACTCTTTGGCAGTTTGGAAAAGCAGGAGCGGGCTGGTGCCGGACGGGTCCACCTGGAGAGGTGCAGTGGAGGATGCCCGGGTCTTCAGATCATGAAGAAGAGACCCATTTTTCAACCAGACTCCTACAGCACATCTGGGATCGAATGGGATAAGAAGAAACAAGGGACAAAAGGAGATTTTGACATAATTTGAGATTTTTTTTCCTCCATGGCAAAGAAGGTCTATTTATTTAGTATTTCTATGAACCAATTAAAACAGAAGGAGATCCAAAATGCTAATGTGGAAGGGTGGTAGCACGTTTGGGATGTCTCAGCTGCAGTCATGGTTTGTTGCTCCTGAATGTCCATGATGTAGTCTTTAGTTTGTTGGCCACATGGTCGATAGGAGAGAACGTAACTTTAGCAGAGCATAGATTGATGGGGGTGGGGGGCACATGAAAGAGGCATTCATGAAAACTTTGGGTAAGTGGACCTCCATTTCAATGTGCCCATTGGGTCAAAGTGGCGACAGTGGAAAGGAAGAGAAACAGAGTTGCCACCATATTACTAGGACTGTCCTGATAATTTGGGATTTTGTCTCTTGCAGGTGATGCTTATCCCCCCATCAGGCCTGGCCCCGAGCCATTGGAGTAACTGGAGAGAGGTGAAAGATCAACCTCTAGAGGGCGCTGTAGTTGGCGCCTGTGGTGGAGATCAACTCAAGTTCCTGCCTGGAGCAGAACTTCACGAAGAGGGGCAGGTTGAACAATTTTGGCGTCCAGGAGTAAACTAAGAAGCCTCTGTGTGCCCTCGCAAGGCCAGTGGGACCCTAAATGACACAGGTGAAAAAGCATAAATGAGTGGCTTACTCGGGAAGACTAAGCTTTAGGGAGTGACTTGCTTTCCCTGCCCCAGACTGAGGGCCTACCTTCAGGAAAAGGTACCCTGTAGGCCAGTTAACCTGCTCTGGCCAAGGAGTCCAGCTGGGAGCTTGAATCCACACATCAGCCAGTCCAGATTCCTAGAGAACTCTGCGAAGGTTTGGGGCCATGATTAGTAATACAGAAGGTGGGCCTCTATGTGCCTTTCTTTCAGCCTTCGAGGACCCTGTTGGTCCACAACAAGTAGCTGCATAAGATCCAGAGGTTCTGAGCCTGGCTTCTGGCAGTCAAAATGAACCACTGACATCTCATAGTACAGAAAGGTCATTGGCTTTCAAGTGGCAGAGCCAGAACGAAGACTGCTCCGACTCTTTCCCCCGATGGCCTGGGCGTATGTGTCAGCCCTGCCTCTTCTACCCACTGAGTGACACCAGGCCAGTGCTCCTTCTGGGCCTCAGTTTCCCCATCTGACAAATGCCTGGTTTACACAGGCCCTGCTTCAAATCTGACGTTACAGGATTTGTCACATTATCACCACTCCTAATGTTTTGATTGAAGAACTTGGCGTTTTAACCTTCCTTTTTTTTTTCTTTTTCCCTCAAAGTTTCCAAATCGGGAATTCAAGCCTGTAGCCAATGAACTTTCCGCCCCCGTTATGAGAAACAATCTCCAGAATCCAGAGGAAGTTGAGGTCCAGGACTCACCCCAGGGGAGGAATCCACATAAACATAACTCACTTTGTCTTAAAAAAAAAAATGAAATCCAAAAATTTGTGACGTCCTCACCCCCCTCCCCCAGAAAAGTCAATGACTTTCAACTTCTTTTCCTTCCAAAGTCCTCACAGAATTTTAGGCAAATTAAAGCAGGAGCATTTGATCTTCTCCCCAGATGTTTTGATCACAGAAGGGCCACATATGTGCACACATTCCTGGATATTTTTAGATTTTTTACAGGATCCAAAGCTCTAACTGCTTTTTCACTCTGTGCTTTGTGGCCGCTGCTGAGAGGTACTCTGCCAAGGCAGCCAAGGCAGCGGCTGATGGAAGAGGGCCTGGCACGGGGGAGGCTTCCAAAGCAGCCTCGCTCGGTGGTGGTGACGCTTGCAGAGGAAGCTGCTCTGAGCCATTCTTGGAGACTTTGAGGCTTCAGTCCCCAGTGCCTCTCTAGCCACCAACAGGAAACACACTGCTGCTGTTTAAGAATTACAGGTTACTCAGATACTTCCTGGAAGAGGACTGGCTGCCAGTTCCTTCAAAGCCCCCACAAAACCCCCAATAAAGAGGTAGCTAAATAGAGTGGAAAAATATTGGTCAGAAAATAAGGAGACATGCTCTTGGCTGGTTACATGACCAGCTACCTTTCTCCACCCAGTCTTAGTTTCTCCATCTGCAAAATGGGGTACAGGTTAGCTTCTTGTTTTTATAAATGAAATTGTACTGGGTCACAGCTCTGCCCCAGTACAGTTCTATAAGTACCACCTGTGACTGAGTTGTAGCAGCAGAGTTGATGAGTTGCCAAAGAAGCCACATGGGCCCTTAATCTAGAATACTTACTCTTTGGTCCTTTAAGGGCAAGAAGGCATATGGCACTCACCATTCCAGGCCATTCCAGAGGTGCCCTACTACTGGCAACTCTCCTCCTATTGTTGGGAGAGAGATAAGTTAATGTGGAGGAAATCTCCAAATGTGTTTCTTGTTGTCTCCTAGTAGGCCTGAGCCTCCGATGTCCACAATAGTCACTTTATCACCCCACCTGGGAGTCCCTGACTCCTCTGCCTATTCCCCTACCAGTTCTTCCTAGAATCTCGCCCCCCTCCAAACCTCTTGCACTTAATCTTTTGACCCAGAATATGTTCTGGGCTCCCAGGCTAAGACAGGACATCATCTCATGCACCTTCTCTCTCTCCCTTGCTTGGCATCCCACCTGCACTCTCCTGCCTGTTGACTTCTGGGCTTAGAAAAAATGCAGCAGCTGCAGGGCATAGAATATGTTCTCCAGAATGGCTGCCATGGCGCCCAACAGCACACCCAGCAGTGAAGGAAAGATTGCTTTCCACGAGGGGTTCCGGGTTGTAGGAAGGAAGCTGTTAGACAGGTGTCCTCTGCTGTTTCTTTCTTGGGCTGCTATGAAGAAGGTTTTCTCTTTGCAAATTTCTAGGTACTGGACAATCTGTATTACAAGACCCTTTTGCATAGTGGTGACTTGCAAAATAACCTGCAGATCTTCCTTGTCCTGCTCCCTGACCATTCAAATTTGTACCACCCTGGTGAAGTCCTAGCAGTGTACTTATTGCCTAGGGCAATAACTACCCTGGGCTAAGGCATGGGTTGGTTTAGATATGTCTAAGGACTCTTTTAGCTCTGACATAATGGACTTAAATTTTATTTGTCACATACTTAAGGATTAAACACAATGTATATCTACCCTCCTGTATTGGACATGAAGCACCATTTAATTCTCATAGAGTTTAGTTTTTATTTAGTTTGGTGCCACAGGTCTTGATTGTTTCATTTCAAATTAGACTAGTGGAGGATATTATAATTAATATCATAGGTGGTGGTGCACTTGAGAGCAGCTTGGGAGACCGAGGCAGGAGGAGTGCAAGTTCAAAGCCAGCCTCAGCAGCTTAGCAAGGACCTAAGCAGCTTAATGAGACCCTGTCTCAAAATAAAAAGTAAAAAGGGCTGGGGATGTGGCTCCATAGTTAAGTGCCCTTGAGTTCAATCCCTGGTACCAAAAAAAATGTTAATAATATTTATTAAGATCCACAGGTACCATATAAAAACAAATAAAAAATATAAAGGTATTGTGTCCATCTACAACTAAAAGAGATATTTTAAAAAAGATCTGTATGCTAGGCCTTGAGTCAAATATTTTTAAAAAATTAAATATCTGATTATTACTCAACCTTATTAGATTCTATTATCTTCATTTTATACAAGAGAAATATGAGGTTCAGAAAGGGTAAGCTACTCATCCTAAATTGTATAATAAGTGGCTGAGCCAGGAAATGAAACAGGAATCTCATGGATTCCAAAGACCACCTTCATAATTATAGGCTTTACTATGTCTGATGTATTAACAAAAAACCCATTCTTTAAAAACTCCTTGAACAGACATTTCACCAATGAAGCTATATGCATGATAAAGAAGCATATACTAAGATGGCTACAACTAAGAAGACCAACCATACCCAGTGTTGGTGAGCACGTGAAGGAACTAGAATTCCCAGACACTGCTGGTAGAACTGTGAAACGGCACCCTTTGGAAAAGTGTGATAGTCTCTGAGACTATCCATAAACATACAACCCAGCCACTCCTCCCAGATATTTATTCAAGAAAAAGAAAACATGTCCATAAAAAGAATCGTATATAAGTGTTCATGACAGCTTTATTTGGAATAGCTCCAAACTGGCATTGACCCAAAGCCCATCAGCAGGTGAGTGGATAAACAAATTTGCAACCCTGCTACAGCATAGTGCTCAGCAATACAAAGGAATGAATTTTTGATACAGGTAACAACATACTTGAACCCGGAGATAATTGGGCTGAGTGAAAGAAGTCAGACAACAGTGAACACCTGCTATATGGTTACATTTATGTAAAGTTCTAAAAAACACAAGTGCGTCAATAGCAATGGAAAGCAGCCCAGGTTGCCTGTGAGGACCATGAAGGGGGGTTGGCAAGGGAGATGGATAATAAAGGAGCGCAAGGCAACTCTTAGGCAAGTGACATCCGGGATTGGATGTCACTTAAGGGTGTTGGTTGCATTCATTGTCTTAATTATAGGATGGTTTTTAAAATATATATATGTGTATATATATATATATATATATATATATATATTTAGTTGTAGATGGACACAATATCTTTATTTATATTTATGTGGTGCTGAGGATGGAACCCAATGCCTCATACCTACTAGGCAAGCGCTCGACCACAAAACCCGGCCCGATGGGGATGGTTTTGTGGGAAGATATATGTCAACCCTAATCCAACCTTATACTCTAATATGTGCAGTTTATTGTAGGGCAATTATATGCCAATAAAGTTGTAAAAAGACAGAGACAAAACAGATTCTGTGAATAACTGGGCCCACAAGAAATGGCAGTGGAGAATTGTTCTTTTTCATCATCTTTTGGGGGATTGCTCAGGGAAATAAAAACCAATGGTGCAGGAATGAGCTGATCCATCTTGTTCTGGCTGATTCAGAATGGTGTAATCCAAAGAGGGAAAGGGCTGGCATGCAGTCCTTGGCAATTGGGGGGGCAATCCCTTCCTGTTCTTGAACCTGTAGGAACATCTCATTGTCCTACCTCATTCATGAAGCTGATTTGAGGAAAAGTAATTGACCTTGCTGGCAAATGTAACCCACTGAATTTCTCCACCTTCATAACAAGTACTGCAAACATTTGGTAGCAGTCCCAATCCTGGATGTCACTTGCCCACCCCAGGCAAAGTGTGCCATTTTCCAAAGTGTGCCATTTTACTCCCTCTGAATTGGCTTTGCCATCTCCCATGTGGTCTCTTACAGGTTTGCTTTCAGATCCCTATTTGGCTGGTCCCTCAAGATTCTTTCTGGTCCCTTCTTTATGGGCCATTGAGGCCAGATCTGCATGCTCAGGAAGAGCCAAGAAGGAAGTTTCTTTGCTCACAGTCCCCTTAAGAAGCGGGGAGATGGACCCAGATGTCTGGTAGCACAGACAGTCACTCAGTCCGCTTTCTCAGCACCTGTCCTGTGTGAGATCCTAGGATGGGCTGCATGCTGTGCCAAGAATGGGGAGGGGGGCAGGGTGGGAATGAGGGAAGGCTTCTCAGGAGACAAAAGGTCGCAGCTGGACTCAGGTGCATGGGTGAGTATTTACTAGACGGAGGTGGGCGGAGAGCATTCCAGATAGGGAATGGACTCCTTTCCTTATGGGTAAGGGTCTGGGGGTATTAGGGACATGGTTTATCGTGACCAAACCCCAGCAAAATGTGAGGCTGAGGGTAAGCCAGGGTAAGTCAGAGAAGAAAATCTTGAGACATGTGTCCAGGGGGTTGGGCTCCATTTGAGGGCACTGGGAAGGCGCCCAAGGGTTCTAGGCCTGGGAGTGACAGTCACAGCTCAACTCTGGTGGGTTCATTCACAGAGCTCTTCTTAAATTTCTCCAGAAAGGCTATCTTCTCTCCAGACCAACGATCCTTGACAGCAAGGTCCAGATGATACTTTGGGGCATGTGTTGGGGGCGGGGGTCCTGTGTATTGTGGCATGTCCAGCAGCAGCCCACTGGCTTCTACCCATTGGATGACAGCAGCAGCCTACCTTCTCCCCAGTTTTGACAACCAAAAATGTCTCCAATTATTGCCAGAGGTCCCCCAGGTTTCAAAGTGGCTTCTCATTGAGAACCATTGGGCTAGAGGTGGGGTTTTGTGGCATTCTTCCCTTGAGTGTGCACACAGATGGCCCGTCAAGTATTTGCCCTCTTCCCTGTCCCCGAGGCCTGGCAGCACCCGGCTTGTAGCCTTTCCCCGAGACACACTGGATGGTGCCCTTGGCTGTCTGCGCAGCCTCTTTCAGCACCTGGGACTCACGCTCCCTGCTCATGGGGGCACTGCCTGGTTCTGGCCAAGGGGAAGCAGCTGCCAGCGATCCATCCACCTCTGTGTCAGGCCAAGGCACCTAATTCCTGGTGGGGAGACTCCTGGATGAGCTTCCACCCTCAAGTCAGCTGGGACCAGTGTGGTCCAAGACTGTTGGCCCTGTACTCTGTGTCCCTCACTTCCACTCTCTGCCAAGCTGCAGCCAGGAGGGACA